AGGAATAAATACATTCAACACCATTAGCGACCAGCTGCTGAAAGAAATCTTTCTCAGTTTACAGAGGGTATCCTCTTTCTTTTCTGTGTCCCTTCTCTGCCCAGGACTGTAATACTGGTTGCATTCCCCCTAAGCAAAAATAAACCCCAGCTTGACACAGGATCAGCCTGCTGGGATGAGATGGGTTTTCATGTCACTGAGACCAACAGAGGAGCACAGGTTGCCTGGCCAAGTTTCTTGCAAACACCTGGCAAACCCCTGCGATAGAGCCCATACTTTTTCAGTCCTGCATCCTTACCTGTCAAAACCACCAGGAATAAGGATGAAGCCAACTGCTGCCTGGGATCTCAGACAGGGCCTGAGATCTGAGACCAGCTAAGTTCTACAAGAGATCTTTGCAATGCTGTTTCATGGGGAATATCCAACATCTTGAACTAGCTGAGCTGTTGCAATTAAATTGTCCTGCCCATTGTTGTCACTATGCCCTCAAGCTAGGGACAAGGGACATTCCTATCTGGATTACTGACCTTTTTTAACTAACTAATTTAAGGTGAAATTAAAGACTTCTCTTTGGTTGATTTTTAAAATACACGTTAGCCTGAAGCATAGGTCTCCTCGTATCAGTACTGCACATTTCTCTTCCTGCCCTTTCATTCCATGCCAGGGTTTCCAAGCTGGATTTCCATATGTTCTTGTTAAGACTGATAAATGCTTTAAAAGACAAAAACATTTGCATTTTTCCTTTTTTTCCCCCCCAAGCTGTCTAAGAAGGTTTGTGTTTAGAAAAGAAAATCAGCAATCAAACAAAAAAGGGAGCTTGAAACCTTCCTTACAGCCGTGGCCAAAACACCTCGCTGGGGCTGGGCTTGGCTGATCTGCTCCACCTTGAGCTTCCACATCCATCGTTATCCGCACAAACGGCTGCTGGATTTGAACTCATAGGAATCAGGTGAAGGAAAAATAAGTTCTTCCTCACTGTTCAATCAAAACAGCGTCTCGGTACATAACTCCCAGTAGTGCCCGGCTGGACACGATGTTTTAATCTTGTTTTAATGCTCTCTTAGCTGCATAATGGGCAAATATAATGGAATGACAATGATGCCAAGCCTCAGTAAAAACCTTTGAAATCAGGATTTTTATGTCTGCGTAATGCTGCTGCTATAATATGATACTTCAGGAAAAACATGGGGAATTTATGACCTGACACGCTCTCTGCTTGGCAGAAAACTCATGCCATACTTGCACTTATTCCATTAAAATCAAATGGAATGGAAAACTCAGAGGAAGAAAATGCTTGTTGAAAAACAAACTGGGTCAGCAAAACTGCCACTACCCTTGAACTTAAGTCCAATAAAAAAAAAACTTGATAAATATACAGAACTGAAAAGGCCATAAATGATCTATTGGCTTTAAAAATACTAATTGGAATTCTGAAGTACTAAAGTATAAAAAGTAAAACTGCAGCAAGACAAAAACAGGGATTTCTTAATCTTCTGATTAGGAGTCTGTGGGCCTATAGCCTCAATGCTGATACTTAATTTTCGGCTCCTAGTGATGCTCGTGTCCAAGCCTGCCAGTTAATTATCCAGGTGTTAAGTCTCTGCAGGAAGAGTAAAATGGATAAGGCACCAGCTCGTAAGGCATTTTCCATTTACAACCAAACCATTGGGTTTGATTCTTTAAAACCACTCATTTTATAGGATTTATCTTTTTCTCAACACTGTTCCAGCAACTTGTCTTACATGGAAAGAAACCTCTTGGGGGTAAAGAATAATCTGAGGCAGGGAGCCTATCTGTTGAATGTACGGTTTGAAGGATGCTTTTCCTTTCCAGGATTTCAGGTACACCACTGCCGCTCTTTAAAGCTAATTTCTACATGTTGCAGTAGCCTGAAGCAATTGCTCTTAGAGCAGCCCTACAACAAGGAGTGATTGCAGACTGCCAGCGCTGGTGACGGCGCAGAGGTTGGCACCAGCCTCTGTTTGATTCTTGTTACCTTGAAAATATGTGCTTTGAGGATGTGGTGTCCCAGTTCAATAGTTTGTTGTCGATTTAGTTTTCCTTCTTGTCGGGAAAACCAGAAGGCAAGTAATGTGTGGCCGCTCCTGCAAGCAGAACAAGAGGGGAGGTTAGTATTTGCTTGGTTTACTAGCAAAAGAGATTCTTGATGATGGCGTCGCATCCTGCTGACCCCTCAAGCTGCAGATGGCTTTGGGAAACAGAGCTGCACCCATTCTCGTCATGAAAAGTCACTAATTGCACAATTTTTACTGTTGGTGATCATGCAGAGTTCAAAAAGAAGAAGAAAAAAACCAAAGCACCCCGGGAAGATCAGCAAAGCTAAAAGCACGTGTTTTCTCTAAGCAGACATAGAGGTGAACCCTCACGTCCCCCAAGTGCTATTTCCATATCATTTTGCAGAGCAAAACCATCCTTGCAAAGCGTGCCAGCCGCTCCCAGCTCATTAGGAAAGGATGTATTTAAAATGTCCACGCTTCCAAAAACAGCCTTAAATAACAGCTATGTCCTCCAGCCCCGACCTCCCCTGCAGAATGAAGCAACTTTATTGCTTTGTGAAACCTTCACCCCCAAACCAGTTTTTCCCCTGTCTTTTTCAGGAAGAAAGACGCCTCTGGCACACGACCTACCAGCTTGCCTACCAAAGACAAATTACCTGAGCTCTGCACAGAGCCTCATTTAACCCAAAACCCATGCGGTGCAAATATATAACATAAACCTGCTGTTTTGTTGCTTTTATCAAGAAAAAAATGATGCTCTTTGGTGACCTTGCAGCAGCCTCGATTTGCAATAAAGAATAAAAAAGGGAGTGACTAATGGAAAGCCACGCTCCTTCTTTGGCCCAAGCACAGAATAAAAGCAAGCGATTTGCACCCCGCGGGCTGGCAAGGCACCAGCACCTCAGCTGCCAGGCTGCTGCCCACGATGGCTTTACGCAGTGACACTGCCCCTTAACGCCTATGGTGACCCTGCGCTGGGAGAGATTCCAGAGAAAAACACGGAAACAGAGAAAGGCAACGAGCAGCTCCCGTCGGATCCACGGCTCCCTCCTAAATGGCTTTTCTTCTGCAGCTGGCCTGTGAAAACACAGGCCTGCTTATTTATTTATTTCCCTAAGAACACAGTGGAGGATGGCAGCAATGATTTCGACATCAAGCAGCTCGGTGAGATGATTTGCTTTGAACCGGCGCCGCGGCAGCATTCATCAGCAGAGATTTTTCTATTTTTAATGGCATTTTGCTGTTTGTGAAAAATCCATAGGGCGGCCAGCTCGGCTACGGGAGCCGTCAGCTGCTCTTCCATCAGCACCAAGTCGCCGGCTGCCCCGTAACGACTGCCCCTTCCTTTTGGGTTTATTCGTGTGGTTTCTTCCCTCTCTGCTCATCCACGCTCACCTGCTCACACATTAACCACCTCTGGTCATCCAGAGCACCATGGTAGCACCCAGCGCCTTCCACCCAATGACTTGGAACAGAAATCCATCCTTCTGGGCACTCCACATGAGGTTTCCAGGCTAAACGGGGCTAAGCTCGATCATCTGCTCTAGCTGTTCATCATGCAGTGACACTGAACCCATCGGTGCACATCCAAGCAGCAGATCTCCCAGGACACCCCACTGTGATGAACCCCCCAACCAAGGAGCCATCGCTACCAGCAGCAGCGCTGGACAGGCCAGTGCTGGGCTAAGGGGACAAGGACCCCACGAAACGTCTGCCCCAGGCTTTGGTCCAGCTCTCGCTGCTTCTTGAGCGTTCTCCATAACTTTGTGAGCTGCAGTTCTCAAGAAGGAGAGCCCAAGAGCTGCATGACCACTCTGTGACTGCTCTAACACCACAGGAATCACTCAACTGCATCTGTCTGCGCTTAAAAATGTTGATTTAAGCAAGCACCATCTTAATGGTGGTGGACTCGGAGCTTCCTGACATCTCATAAAAATCAAGACGTGCTTTGGCTGCTCCTTCTTTGCTCAATACACGCAACGGGGAAGCCAACAGCAGCCGCAACGCTGTTCACGTGGAGAGGGGTGGTTGGGGAAGACGGACTCTGGATGCAGCCAGCGCCGCCTCGCACCACGCGGGAAGGAGCCGTCGGGTTTATGGAGCACGGGATGGAGACAGGATGGGAGCAAACGGAGCCCACGACGTCTTCAGCATTGAGAGAGATTTTGGAGCACCTTGTGCTTAATGATTCCTACCTTGGAAGGAGCTGGCCCTAACCCCTCTGATGTGGTTTTCAGCAGCATCCATGACATTAGGGTTCAGGTCGAAAGCCGCTCGTTTAATTTGAGCCACTTTGACAGATCTAATCAGCAATCGCCTCGTTGATGCAGTCCAGGCAAAACGGAAATTATGCTCCAAATCTGCTAATAACCCTGCTGTCCTCTGACGTCGCAAGGTTATCTGGTAAGAACTCCACGGGTACCAACCACGCAGCACCGGTATTTCATCAAGAACAGGGAGTATGTGCCTCACATTATGTTAAATATTTGGCTATCAGGGAGAAACAGCCCATCAGCCGTTTACGCAGGAAAACGTAGTGGGAACCGGCTCAGGATCCGATCCCGGAGCAGCTCTGCACTAAATTGCATGGAATAACGGCAGGCGCCAGAAACCACCGCGAGAAGCCGCAAAACAGACAACTCTAATGGCACCCTCCAGACTCGGGGCAACAAAAGCTATTTACAATTGTTTCAGAACGCAGCTCAAAAAAGAAAGGAAGGATAAAGCAGAGAAAATAGCATTTTTGAACACTCTGAGGCCATGACTTAATGAGATTTGAGAAATCAAACCCAGAGAGGCCAGATGAAATTCCCACGCCGCGGTTCAGTTCATCCAGCCCTGCAGAAAACCCGCTGGCTGCCAGGAACAGATTATTTGATATTTAGGGTAAATAAGCACTGTCCAAAAGCAGGGTGAAAGAAGAAAACCTGCTGGCTTATTTGATAAATACGTTAGATGGGTGAAACGAGTAACACTGTCTCCTTCACAGCAGGCTCTCCAGTGACTGTCTAGCTGACACACGCAGAACATCATCAGATGATGTGGACTAGGACCCTGCTTGCTCCCATTTAGGCTGATAAAATATAAAATAAATAGAATTACAAGAGAACGGAGAGTCCAGTACGGCAGTGCTTTACTGCCGCTTTGACCAGGTATAAACGAACAAGATGTGAGGTGGAACAAAACCAAGGCTGCTCTCCTGCAGCTCGTGGAAGATGGTTTCTCCAGCAGGTCATGTATGTTTTAGTTCTGTAATTTCCTCAGGAGATCAGAGCTAGCCTAGAAACGCTGGCGAATGGGATAACTGCCCAAAACAAGGTTTCCTGTGTTCATTTTGTTGTGCTATGACACATGCTTTGATGACTTTGCAGTGTGTTACGCTGTAAGGAGGGAATTAGGAAACCTTCTCCTGCAGGTCTTCGGGGAGGCCTGGAGGTTGTGTTCTCAGTGTCCAGCCCACCAAAGTGCAGCCGCTTGGCCAACGCTCGCCCCTTCGGTTAAGTGAAGGACATCCTGATGGAAGCCTCTCTACCCACCAAGAATAAGGAATTTAACCGTGTTTCCTCTCGATGAGTAAATTAAAGCAGCGAGAAGTATTTTCTTGCCTCCTTTTGCCTGTCCTATCGGTCTAGGAGAAACTCTGCTCCAAGGCGCAGGTGACCTGGCACTGGCTTGGCCTCCTTCCGCAGCCAAATTGAAAGCTCTGCAAATGATGGGAAATCTCTGGTGTTTTGGCAATTAATTAGACTTCTTCAACATCAGAGGGGAGCACTTGCTCTCTTGCACCTGGATGACGGGGGACATCCAGTGTGCAGATGGGCCCGGCAAAACAGCAAATTGCGACGCGTCCCCCGTTGACGTCCTGCTCGACCCAGCGCTTGGCAGACACCCACGCCGGGGGCACCTGGAGCTGCCCGGTGCAACTAGCACCAGCTACAGTGAAATATTGCCATTATGGCGCATGAAAAACACATTAAGGCAGCAATTCCCCCAGCAAAACGAGGGAAAATCATAATGAAACAGCCGCACTCAGCGCGCTGCAGCCCCCCAGGAAAGCGAAGGTTGATGCTCCACACCCAACATCTGCCAAAATGTAATTATTTTGTCTCGGGGCCTAAAAAGTGCTAGTTTTCTGCATGTGTATATAAGGGATTCAAATCAATTCGTGCTAAAACCATCTTCTTCCTCCCCTTGATGTCAAATAGCACCTCTGCTCCGCTGGGTAAAATCCACTGCGCCCAAATGCAGAAAACACTTCAAGTACAGCCTGGTTTTTGGGGAGCACTGGATCTTTTTGGGGAGCACTGGATCACGGCAGATAACCATAAACTGGAGGATATTTTAAGAGCTTTGCAGGTTTGTGGCATAGAGAAACAGAGGAAAAGGAGACAGATAAACCACGTGCTGCAACATCGAAGTGAACTAGCCATTTATGAGCTAACTGCTGACCATGTTAAAAGGCTGATGCATAATAGATGACCCCCCACAGACCATTTTAAAGCATTTGTTGTATTGCTGAATTTTAACTGACTTATTTTCCCCAAAACTCTCTAAATTAACTATTATTCAACTGGGGCTTGTTATTTGTCAATTGAATGAAGACTGCTAATAAAGTGAGGAGAAAGATAGAGCCCTTTATTTTTTTCCTAATGCATTTACTATATTATTTTGCTGGGCAATGCAGAAAAACAGTAATTTTTTGTAGGAAAGGTCTCCATTTGCAGCCTGCTTCCCTCAGGAAAAGGAAGGCTGCAAAATACCTCCACTGGGTTATATTCAAAGGTAGCTCTGCTAGAAACCATGGCAACGTGGCCGTGTATTAGAGATGCTCGTGGTGTTCAGGGTACCAGTGCACATTGATCTGCACAGAAGGGCCTTCATTTCCTTCCAAATGCCCCCCAGGTGACGTGGTGCCACCTGTAAGCACAAAGCTGGGCAGTCCAGGGCCACCCTCGCAGCAAAAACCCGAATTAAGGCTGCCCTGTGCCTTGAAAACAACTGCAAGGGTTTCTGATCAAGGCTGTGCAGAAAGCGCTGCTGCGTTAGAGCAGAATTCAGGTTAAGAAACGCAAGCACAACGTGCAATAGTAACTGCTCTCTCTGCGTGCAAGACATAGGGGATCACGTTTCTCCTAACGTGGTTTATGTTATTTGCCAAATAAGACAGTGGGTTAACAGCAGCACCGCGGGGCCAGTGCTGGGGGTTCTTTGGTGGGAGATTTCCCCTCGAAGCCAGGCAGCCCTTCCTCTTTGCACCAAAAACACATGTTGAATACTCGAGAAAGAGGGTCAGCAACGCACCAGGCTGCTCCAAACCCTGCAGGGAAGAGACGCATGGAACCAGATGGCCCCACGAGCCCTGCTGTCCCCAGGGACACCCGGCTGTCCCTGCACCCGCTGCCTTCGCTTGGGTCAGCCGAGAGCAGCGTCGCCAACGCGCTCGTTTGCTTCAAGGCTCTTCCCATGAGGAAACCAGCCCAGCAGGTCAACGTATCTATAGACACAGAGACAGGGCAGGGTCCACAAGCTCAGCACGACGGCAGCGCCCGCGAGGACGCTCCGTTCTGCTCCAGCTGCCGGCAGCATCTTCCCTGTTCCCGAGCAAGCGGACAGGGATCCAGCTTGCAGTGAACAAACAAAACACAGGCAGATTTCCATAGGCTGCTCCTATCAGCTCTGGCAGCGGCAAACTGTGCTGCTTTTAATGAGAGAAAATGAAAAATCTTTACTTGTCTTAATTGCCCGAAGGCCTCACTGTGCGCGGAGCTCAACACTTCGATACCAGCCCTTCCCCGAGCGCTGGACAGGAGGGTCTGGAGGAGCCCCCAGCCCTCTCCCGCAGGCCCTCTCCGTTAATCACTGAGATGTATCCCGTTTTATTATCTGCCATCAGAGCATAATGCAATTAGCGCGCGCTGTACATTAGGGATACGGATTAACCCTTCAATACGGATGGGTTTCTACTGGAGGCACCAGAAGCCGGTTGCAGGTCTGCAGCAGCAGAGCAGGGTTAGCTCTGGGAATTCTGCAGGGATTTCACACTTGCAAGGAGCAAGAACCTTCCTCCTACCCCTCCGAGTCACCGGTCATTTAGCACGAGGCACTCCCAGAGCTAAACTGATGCTCAAAACCCTTGTGATTTCATGCTAAAAGCCCACAGAGCTGCAGGCAGTTTTGGTGCAAAACCACCCAAAATGCAGCACTTGGGATTCATTCTCAGTTTGGATATTCCTGACCTTCATCACAGGGGAACTGGGGAAGCTCTTAACCATTTGTATGAGGGCCAAGAGGAATATTTCTGGAGCAAGAAAACCAAAACACCCCTGTAACCCAGCTGTACCAATCACTACAGCATCACAACGTGCGTGTTTTACCCACCCGGCCAGCATCCTATGGGCTAATTCTATTTTCATGGCAAAATGGGCAGGCAGTGATTTTTCCTTGCTGCTTTCATTTCGGTTCATTATGGCAAGTGCTGCTGTTTCTAAAACCGGATAGCGACAATTCCCAAGGCTGTTGGTTCAGTCTCCCGCAGCCCGGCTGACGACAACCTCTAATACGGCTAAACCAGCCAAAAAAAGGGGGGCCAGACAAGGGCAGTGGAGCTGAGCGCGAGCGCGGCCGCTGCCAGCACCACGGCATGGATGACACACACACACACTGCAAACAGGGTGGAAAAGCACTTAATGACTCCGAGAAGGCCATTAAAGAGCTAACATCCACTGAGTGGCATCAAGACACCCACTCGCTTGATAGGGATATTGCACAAAACCTGCTAAAACACTCAAGGTCCCCATTGGGAGGAGCTATATGATTTTTTTTCCCCCGTTTTTCCCTACTGCAGCCTGTTTGCTGCAAACCTTCAGCCTTCAAGTGGTAAATTAGCCTGACACTGCTAACAGCTCTAGCTGCTTTAATCAGCCGCGTGGCTGCCAGCTCGAGTGGCCATTCGGCTCCAGCAGATCCTGTCGCGTTTTCTTTGGAGCGACTCTTGGCGTCCAGGAGACGCGCGGATATGACTCGGAACACAAGCATCTCCCTGATGTTGATAATCATATTTGGTGAAAAGGGCTGGCAAAATGCAGTAAAGCTTATGGGCATAAACTACTAGAATTGCAAAGTGCCTGTTTTCCACTCTTGAGGGGAAGCAAAGATAACATCATTAATAGTGATCATTTGGTTTGGAGACTGTAAATCTAACTGTGATTGAATTCTGCTCTCCGTGAGGGAAGCCAGGAACTCGGCTGCTATCAGGACGGAGATTACACATGCATTTAAAGCCCCAAATCACTACAGTCTGATTCTGTTCCTTATTTTGGCTTTCAAAAAAGCATTTAGCAGGAGTATGAGAAACAGGATTTCAAAAAGAAGCCAACCATAAAAGACATTCTCACTGCTTATCCTTCATCTTCTTATCCTCTACTTCACGTTGGCTCTCTATACCCTTCGAGGAACGGAGGCCAATTCTCCTCTGCAGACTGAGCTGGCAGCATTAATGTGAGAAAACGCAGCCATCCCTCGCGCAGCTCAGATGTCTGCAGCTGAGCTGGTCACCTTAGGGCCTTCTGAAGAACAGCTCATCTCGTTCTCAAGCACACTATTAAATTTGCTGGGTCAGCTGCGTGGCTGGGGAGAGTTTCTTTCCTTCCATGAGCAACAGAAAGGTCTAAGGTGACCAGCACAGATGTAGGTATCGACAACGTAGACAGACTGAGGTGCGATGAGATGAATCGCATTCCACGTGCAGCCTCATAAAGTAAAATGATGGAGATGATAAAAGGAAGTGCTTCTGAGATGAATAGATTACAAACGCTGTTTTCTCTGAGAATTTACTTACCTAGGATCACAAAGAAACTTGGTCTTTTCTCCTTCTTCCCTCCAAATAAGCCATTCTCGGAAAGAGGGATGAACAAACATTCGCGTCATGTCTCTACGTTTGATAAGAAACATAGAAAGGTTCTCCATCCTCTGCTGAAAGTCATCCCACTCCAAAGTGCCCTCAATGTTACCTGCATTAATGGCCTGAAAAATATGTTCGTCTGTTAAAGGATGCAGAGATGCCACTGCCACATTCAAGAGAGGCATAACCCGATCAAAGGAAGACTGCGTTGGGAACTTCATGTTGCACTGCAACAGGTAAACTTCTGACAGAGAGACCGGGACTACTTTGTAACTGGAGCTTTTTAGTACTAGGTATCCTTTCTCTATGAGATCAAAAGTGAGTTTTAGGTACAGGTAGGACCCTTGGCTCAGGGTCTTGAGGTGAGAGCTGAGCTTGCCAAACGTCGTGTTGTCCATTTTGCCGTTAAGGGAGATGTTGTTCTGGATCTCTGAGCTGCTGTGTATCCGATGGAGGATATATGCCTGCAGGTCCTGGTCGATGGCTTCATTCTCTTCCAGTCTATCCAAAAAAATTCTGTGGAAGGGCAACAGCTTAATTATTTCCTACAAAGAAAGAAAAAGAAGTATGTTCACGCTGGAAGTGCTTATTATTCGCTAGGTAAACCTAATTCATATTACAACAGCACCTTTGAGACTCCTCTAAGACCTGACCAGTCAGAGCAAGAACACGAGATGGCAACTGGTGCCCTCTGGACCTCAGAACCTCATCTATAATCAAGCAGGTGGTGTGGAGAAATGACTGAAATAAAAATGAAGGCCACAGGTTCCCCAAACCCACGGAAAGGTCGGGAGCAATCCCACGGAGCAGAGCCCTTGTTATTCTTGCCCCATCCCAACCAAGAAGCAGCCACATGACCTGATTTTTGGCCGTATAAGAGGCTCGTTATGGGGAATGACCTGCCACAGGACAGATCTCAGGCCAGAAGGCATTTTGCTGAAACTCAGGCCCAGGGCACTGGCTCTCTACTTCTTCCACATCACACGGCTGCTATCAAGAGGAAAATGCACTGAAACATCAGTGCAGATAATATTTGCCAGGGCAAAATAAACACAACTATCCGTTACAGGATCCGCCGGCCACAGCTTTGCCAGTTTGCACAAAAAGAGGATTAAAGATTTTAGTAAGTATTAGCAGATCTCAGTGAAAATGCCTAACGGACCTCGGTCAAAACGAAGTGCACAGCTCCGTGCTACCCGAAAAGTGGCAAACGCTGAAAAACGCGGGCTCAGCTCCACAAGATTCCATGCTGTGGATATGTCCTTTATCCCATGGGAGTAGCTCATTGCTCTGGGCTGGTCCCCAGCTGAAATCAAGCAGCTCTGCTCCAAAATGGCAAAATAGTTCAGAATAACCCAAACATCATTCAGCTCAGGACTTCAGCCTCAGCCAAAGATATGCTTAACAGAGCTGAATAATGTCTCGGACTGAGGCCGACTCCTCCAGATCGGAACGATCCCACTAAGTGCAGGGCAGACGGAAAGGGCACGAGGATGTGAATGCCTGAGCTTCTCAGCATTGAGCAGGGAGCGTTTTCACGGTTTTGGTTGAAAGCAGAAGGTCTCAAACCTAGCAATCTACCACTGAGACCTTCTTCGTCAAGGCCCATCGCGCCAAAGATGCAGGTTCTGCTTTCCAGGACTCCTGGGCTCAACGTACCTGTAGGCTTGTCCTGACCGTCACGACCAGCTTCAGCCACGAAGGGAATTTTCCGATCATTTTGCTCAAGAATGAGACGATGGTGTCCCCATAATCTGGCTTGTGGAATTCAGCCTCATTCAAACCATCTATTAAAATGATGAAATCCTCATCGGGAATCTTCCTCTCTGAGACAAACAAGCAAAAAGAGAAACACATTCATTTGAACGTCTAGCCACATTACTATATCATCCCAAGTTACTAGAGTGTTTGAAGACATTATCAGATACTGCTAACAAAAAAACATACCATTGCAGCATCTTTCTTCTATGATACATTAATTGCACCTATAGGTACATCCACACATTCACCACTTCAATTATCATTATAGAAATCATTATAACTAATGATATATACGTGGACTGGGATCTTTGATTCAAGTGTTCTATTTTCAAGGATAATCTTGCCTAAAAAATACTATACTAGCTGCAGAATAGGAGAACTGAATCTGCTGTTGGCATCTGCTGCTAGTCTGCACTACAGGTTTTATTCAGTAAAATACCTGTTCTGCTTTGTAAACTACTATGAATAAATCACACTATGGGAGAGCTCAGTATTCTGACAGGAGGCTCTCTTCCCTCTTCAATTTTAAATTGTGCCAGGAAATTTTCTATAAAAATCCAAAATTAAATGTTCATTGATTACATGAGCTGTCTCTGTGGCATCTCAGGGAGAACAGAAATGAATTAAAAACACACGCTTTCAGTATTGCTGAATATCAAAAAAATCTCATATTATTGCCTTATGCTGTCAAGTGGGCTTATTTCTTTACCTACTGTTAAAACCCCAATGAAACATAGATATCATTATAAATCCTTGCTAACTTCTCAGCAAGATCACTGGGTATTCTAGAAAGTGCATTTTATGACTTTCTGAAACCTCGTCAAGAATATTGCGGGAGCCTGAGTTTTGTGCTGAGTTTTGCTCATGTTTCTCAAAGCCTGAGGGAGAGGAAAAAAGCCAGTGGGGGGCAAGAACCAGAACTTTCTGCTATTTACGACTGAGCTTCTTTGGGATTTGAAAGTGTATTTGGGAAACACGAATCCAAGCTTGTCAGTGGCGTTGGACATTAACAGCTACGCAGTAACTTGGTCCCGGTAGCGTTAAGGCTTCAACAGCACCTTGTAAAAGACCTGCTGATATATTTACAGAGTCTTAAATGTGATATATTTTCAGACCCATTTCCAGACACTGCTCTTTTCATTACAAAACACTTAGCACAGATTAGTTTGCCAGCACTCTCCATCAGCCAGGCTGAAAGATGGGAGTCCTGACCCCGTGTTGCGTGCAGGACCCGCGAGGGAAAAGGAGGCTTTGCACAACATTTGTCCATGCCTCAGAACTTGGGATTAGCTGGGGGTCAAGCTGCTTGGGAAGAGAAACCAGCATCCTGAGAAACGCTCTCAATTCAAGGTCTGGAATAGCTCCCAAAGAGGATAATCCAGCTGCTTTTGGAGCAATGGTTCCTAAAGCCTCATCCATCGCCATGCGTGCGTAAGCGAGCGGCCGGGCTGCTCCATAGCAGGGGCTGCATCGCGTTGGCTCCCGCGCGCTGCGAGCGGCAGGGACAGAAACGATTCGCGTTGATGTTGCAGCCGATAGCACGGAGTGCCATTTTATTGAACGTTATTTGTGCAGGACAACAGAGCTCTGCAAGACTTTGGCGGTTTTCATGGCAACAAGCAACGATCCTGAAGATAGCGACTGTTACTAAGACCTGGTTGCATCAGGAAGGAAAAGGAGACAAAAATCGATGCTGCCTTGGGAAAATCTCAGGCTTTGAAGCCCAGATGTAACTAAGCATCAAAGCAACTGAGATTTTTTATTTAAAAAATAAGCAAGCATGGGTGTTGGCAGAGGGACGCTGCTCTGGGGTACCTTTGTGCAGGTTTTCCAGGGGCTCCAGGACGCCGCGGCGGAAGGAGGCCATGGGGTCCTGGACGCAGGAGCGCAGGCTGAGCAGGCTCTGCAGATGGGGCTCCCGCAGCAGCTGCTCCCGGTAGGCGACGAACTGCGGCGAGCGGCAGAGCAGCGCGGCCACGTTGTGCACGAACTCGGGCACCAGGCAGGTGTAGGCGTTGTCGGCTTGGCAGTAGTGGTAGGCGACGACCTAGGGAGGGGAAACGCAGCTATGAAGTCGGCAAACCGTCGGCGGCCACGCGGTGCGTCGGGTGATGTGATGCGCTGGGGCAGGTGAGGTCTTTAAGGAAAGCGCGCGTTAACTGCCCATGACAGGGCCCCAGGGGAAGGGGTTGACGCAAAGAGGCGCCGACTCGGAAACGTTACCGGGTCTGCCACTTGAGGAACAAACAAAAGGAAGCGGTGGCTGTTTGCGGAGACGGACGGTGACAGCAAGTGACGGATCCGGAGCGCCGCGCTGAGCGCGCCAGGGCAGAACGGCGCTCCGAGCTCCGCTTAGGGCCTCAGCAGCAGTAGTAATAAACAGCAATTGCTTTTTAAAGCAGCTTGTTATTTTTTTGAATGCTGAGCTGTGCAGAGGGGGATGTGGAAGGAACACGAGCTGGAGAGGGGCACCTGGCAGCAAGGTGGCACCCGGGACCCATCATCTCCCTGAGCAGGGAGGGAGGCTGGACTGGCTGTGCATTGCTCATTGCTCCTCATTCAGAAAAGCGAGCCAAAAAAAAAGAAAAAAAAAAGAGGAGAAAATGATTTCCTGGGCTCCTCAAACCCAGGCAGCACTTCCCACTTTTTCCAGGCTGCATGGAACCAGTGGGAGCAGGAGCTGGATGGAGGCCATGGCTTGAGGTGGCCTCTGCACGGCTCAGGGGCGGCTTTGCACTTGAAATAGCACCGTGTGAGACTGCTGACGGGATAAGGTGCAATAATTCCCCTTCAAAGCCTAAGCGAGGTGTGATGCATACTGTAATGATAACACTGGGCTGTTATTACAAGCATCGGGTCCCAATCCTTGTGCTTGAGCTTTAATGAATACCTCCCCGTTCACACTGTCAGACGGTCAAAATATAATGTATATCCTTAGAAAAGAGCTGGGAAAAGCAGTAATAAAGGTAATGATTTCTGTTTGCCAATGCCATTTATTGGCAGATTATAACTCGCGCAGTGTTCGGAAGGGACTGTCCCTTGATACAGCGCTCCCCAAAATAGAAGCCCCATCCCTATATGCAGATATATTACTTTCCATACAACTCCTGTGATTTAAGTCTCCTCTTTACAAGGAATCCAAAAGGTCGAATCATGGAAAAGAGGATACAACTACAACCTGTTCCCAACCATCACCATTATATTCCTTCTTCTGGAACACTTAAATACTGTACTTAAGAGATGGACCTGAAAATAAAGCAGTAAGCCACGAAGCTTTGGGGAAGGCAACGAAGGGGAAAACGTTATGATGCTCTCAGAAATGCAACTGCGCCAAAACCTCGCCTTGATGTTATTTATTCCCTGTGACATTTTCTCAATTTTCAAATCACAAAGAGAGGCACTGCCAAAGGCTGGTGCTGGAAAAGCAGGATCTGTGTTAGGAACCAGGCTCCTCACTTACGTAACTGGTGTTGGGGCGGGGGAAAAGCAGTTTTCTCATGCTGGGAAAGTTTCGGAGCTCTCGGGAAGTTTTCCCCTGCCACACGTGGGAGCGAGAGCAGCTTTGCCAGCAGAAATGAAGGAAGCCAGTGGCTTGTTGAGGAAAGGGCTTGTTCACAGCTGGGGAAAACGGGTTCACAGCCTGTTCTTTCTCCCCTGTATTAGGTGAAAACCTTCAGTATCCGGACGTTAACTTCCCTTAGGCAGGTTCCTCTCCCATTGCTGTTACTGGATACTCAATGAACGGCTCGTGCATGCAGCTGGGGAGGTGGATTGGCAGCCCCAGGGCTCAGGACACTCATCCCAGCGCCTCACCCAGGCCCTGCGGCACACAGGGCTCGTCCTCCGCTCAGCCCGGGAGCTGCTTCTCTCCTCCCCTTTCTCTTCTTCTGCACTGGACTAGCCAGGAACAACAGCCAAGAAGCAAAAATAAGAATTTGTTTAGCCCAGAAATAAATGTTTCATTGAAAAAGGCATGCTTTAAGCGATTCCATGAAAACACAGAGAAGCCACAGCACCGTGCATATGCACAATGTATTCTTGCAGCATGTTTTACCTCGAATGACTCCACATGCTGGAGCATGGGGTCAGGAGAGCTCCCAGCCATCGCTGCCATCTGTGCAGATCTGGGTGGCACAGCCACATTTTGCAAACGCATAAAATTCATGGAAGTTGGAGAATTCACTTCCAAGTCACTCCACTCGAAATGTGGGCTCTGGGCACAGAGATCCCTTCCTTCTGAACATAATTCTGCACATTCTGCCCCTGTTAATGCCAAGCAGCTCCTGGGCAGCTTGGCTGGTACATCACTTGGAAATGGGAAAAACAACGGGGGTGAGGACTGGCCTGCAGGGCTGTTCTAAAGCGATCTGGAGAGCCTTGCTGGCTGTCCACCAAGGAGATACAGTTATCACGAGCTTTTTAGTGGCTATTTTTTCCCTTTTCCACATTAATTAGGTGTTTCAAGGCTTGAGAAACACCAGGCGCCGTCCAGCGGGACCTGATCCCTCTGTCCCCGACGCAGCCGTGAGCAGCAGCTGCATTTTCACTCACCAGCAAAAGCCACGGGCCTCATCTTCCCAGCTGCAAGAGCAGAAACCCCCCAGAGGAAGCATTCGCCTTCTCTTGAGGTGCTACAACCAGTAAGATTCAGGACTCTTTCTGGCCAACTCCTCCAGTGTCAGCCCTTCCCTTTGCTCCTGCCACCAGCACCTCCCATTTCCCTTTTCCATCCAGCCTTGCATAACTCCCCCCAGTTTCTGAGGCCTTTTTCTTCTACCTCTCATTCTGGTCCTCTTCTCTGTCTGCCCTTTCTTGGACACGGTCCAAGTGGCCAATTCCTTGATGCAGGATCTGTGCATCCTTCCTGTAGCTCTTTGTCCCATGCCAAAAAGAGATCCTAAAACCACGGGCATCCATGCTCTAGATCTTTAAGGCCAAGCCACTGATCTCCCCTCATTTGTACTATATGATCATTTAGCTTTGCTTAACTTGACATGGGTTTTGGTTCAGCTGCAAAAGTATGGAAGAAATCCACAAAGTCAGTAAAAACAGGGAGATTTCTGCATAGAGATGAGATCAAAGAAAGCTGCTGGAAGGAAAAGGAAGACACTGGCCTGTTAAAACCAGGATGGCTACTGCAAATACCATGGAAAATGCGGCTGGAAGAGGAGGGAGAATGTTAAATGGAGGGAGAAGGGGAAAGGAGAGGCTGGGAAGCCGTGGGAGAACACAACATGCCAGGAGCAGACAACAGCCAGGAACAGGAACATGAGAAAGGTGGGAAGGATGGTGTGAACATGAAAAGGGAAGGAGCAAGAGGGGCTGAAGACGGCTCCGGGGAAATAAGTTATTTTTGCTTAATAGGACAGGCCAATTTTAAGCAGCTCCCTGGCACTATTTGTGAAAAATAATACCTTCTTCCACTTAAGGAGCCTTCCTCCGACATCGCGCCTCCACGGTGACTGGCCACAGCCTCCTCCTCCTCCATCATCTCCATGGAACTACCCAGACACCCGGGCCAGCGGGACGAGCCCCGCAGAGCCCTGGCACTTACAGAAAAGCATCGGCTCCACCAGCGCTTCCCTGCTCTTAACACGGGCTCCAGCATCGTGTTCTAGCCACGTTCCTGCACCCAAAGAGATTCATCTCCCACCCTGTGCAAAAAGGCTTCGCCCGCACTCAGGGTGCTGGTTTCACCTGCCCAAAGGTGTCTGCAAGGCTGCCATGAAACGGGCACAGCTCCGTTTTACCCCTCGCACGTGACTGTGCACGTCTGCGGTGACCCAGGTCATCGGGCACGTCCATCATTTTGACCTCGCTGCATGTGCTGGGAAAGGCCTCCTGAGACCCACCAGCACCGCAGGACACCGGGGCTGAGCAGCAATGAGCCCTTCCAACCCGGGATCATTGGGATTTGATGGAGAGGGATCACTGGGACATGGAAACACGGCCTGCAAGGACAGCAACGCTCCTTCGCTTGCCCTTGCCAGGGGAATGAAGTCAAGAAGGATTTCAGTGCAAGAAAAAATGCAAAAAGAATTCCAGTCCCCCCCAAAAAGCAGCACACCATGAGGGAGGAGCAGAGTGCTGCCTTTTTAATGCAATCTTACATTTAAAATGCTTACTTTCCACATTCCCTTTTTTCTTTAAGTTTCGCATTACTGCTCCGCTGTCATCGCAGGCAGCATGTTTACGAGCGCTAAATAAAAGCAGATGGATTTAGCAGCTTTCCTGGGAGCTTTTCAGAAGCTCCAAATGCGGCTCCATGGGACCGGAGCGGCCGCGGGCGCTGCCCAGGGCCCGGCGCACAGAAACCCCCATCCTGCAAACCCTGCCCCACGGCACACGCGCACGCGCCGCAACGCCAGGCCAGGCAAGCACAGCCTGCCAGAAATGCGAACGCTTTATTGCGAGTGTCAGGAGGGATGTGGAAACCCGAGCGGTTTTACCCATGACTCCGGAGCGTTTGGCAGATCTGGCCCGCTGGCCGAGCTGCTCCTGCCTCCCCGCGGCGCTCGCGGGGCAGAGAGCCCAGCCGGCTGCGGGACGTGGGGACAGTGGCTAAGATGTCCCCAGCAGGCCTGGCTCTGAGCTCGGGACCCGACCAAGCGTCTGCTCTGTGAGGAAACCTTTTCTGATTAAAAAATCAATCAGGAACAGAGTCATGAAATCTCTGCGAGAAAGCCATTAAACATACCTATGTATTGCATACGCACCGAGGAAGGTTCTTTGCAGCTCTTGTTGCTCCAAACTCATTGGAGACCCTAAAGATTATACAACTTTGCTCACCAGAGCCCACCTCTGACCAAGGGCAAGGACTGAGACACCTCCAGGGCAGCCCATCATCACCTGGGATGCTTTTATCTTCTAGGATCGACTGGTGGGGACAACTTCATTGCAGACCCCAAAGATTATATAACTTTGCTCACCAGAGCCCATTTCTGACCAAGGAGAAGGACTGAGACACCTTCAGGGCAGCCCTGGGATGCTTTTCTCTTCTAGGATCGACTGGTGGGGACAACATCAGAGCGGTCCAACACAGACCAGATGCAGCCTGTCCCCACGTGCAGATTTTGCAGGAAAAAAATATACCTGATACTGTTTATCTAAGCTGGCTCATCTCCAAGCACATTTCTTCTCCATTAATTTGCTGGTGATGATTGGACTAGAAATCATGGATGACTTCAAATGGCTCCCTAAGAATAGGACAGAACGTTGCTCTTTTCCAGCATGG